TGATTAATACAGACGAATAGATGGTGGATGGATGAATGGAAGAATAGATAATGGGAGAATGGATGATAGGTGAAGTGGATGATGGATGGATAATAAAGGGGTGGATGGTGGATGGATGGACGGACGGGTGGGTGGATGGATGGATGGATGGATGTATGGATGGATGGACGGACGGGTGGGTGGATGGATGGATGGATGGATGGATGTAGGGATGGGTGGGTAGATTTTTGGTTATCTGATGGGTGGTGGATGGGTGGGTGGGTGGATGGATGGATGGATGGACGGACAGGTGGGTGGATGGATGGATGGATGGATGGATGGATGGATGGATGGATGAAAACTGGTAAATTTGGGCTTCCGTATGAAGTTTTCTGAGTCAGAACCCTCCTTCCTCAGACAGCCCATGATGATGAAATTAAGACTAAACTGATGAACAAGGCTTATACTATGGGGACCTTGAGGTGTTTAGCTTCTGAGGGTCCTCCCTGGTGGCATTGTTCCCGGCTGTGGGAGCCCCCCGTCACTCACGTCAATGGGCACACTGTCGTAGAGGCGCTTGCCAATCACAGTCTTGCCCTGGATGTCAATGTTCTCCCTTTCCTCGATGGGCAGCGTCTGCACCAGCACACAGTCGATGTAGAGGGACACATTCTGGGCCTGGATGCTGAGGGCCATCTTGTGCCAGTCCCGGTCAAAGAGGTCACTGACTCGAGGGCCTCGGAAGACCACCCTGACTGCATCCTTCATGGCGCCCACAGCGTTATACTCGACTGCCTTGTTCTCACCGTCCAGCCGGATGGAGACCTGAGGAGGAGGACACCAGAGATGCCTGAACACCTACCGCATGCCCTGAGCATCATGGGGCAAAACATACACAGAAGTGGGGAAGGGTAGAGTCAGTCTTGTCAAAGATGTGTCACATCAGACAGTGACTCACATCAGGCTGTTCAACTGCTGTCTGACCTCAGGCAGGCCAGCCAGGTACCTCTCTGAGTCCTGACTCTCCTCAGTACAAGGGCATCCGTAGCCACTTTGCACACTGGTCTAGATGGGGTAGGGAGTGGAATGACTGTGTTCATCCACTAATCTGGAACCATGCACTCACCTGTGCAGAGGGGCCACTGGGGCTTCTGTAGGGCAGCAAGATGACCAGTGAAGAGAGACTGGGGAGTGACATCAGCCAGAAATCCTAACTAGCTCCGGGGTCTCTTAAGCTCCTCCACTGGTAACATACATATCTCCCGGGCAGGTGCCAGTGTGTCACAGGAAATCTGCCACACCTCTCATTTGGAGGGTTCAAGTAAAACTTTATGGAAATGAAGTCATTTGGTGGCAGGGACCTTGTCTGTCTGGGTCACTGGTGCACACCTTGCCCTTCGCACAATGCCTTAGCACAGGAAAAGCTCTCAGAGGTGTCCAATCTTAAACTACCATGGGCTACACTGTGGTCCACAATGTGAGTGTTTCAGAACCCAGAACCATACAACACAGTTCTAAAATAAACAAACAAAAACCTCACAAATAACCTCATAATGGTTAAGTGAGTTTATGGTTTTGCACTGGGCAGTATCCACAGCTGTCATCAGCTGCACATGGTCTGCAGGCCCCAGGCTGGACACCCCTGGGAAGAAGTCACTGTTGCTGGCTTTTAGGGGTAAAACATTATGTTCTCATGTATGCTCCCCTTTCTTCATCCTGTCCATAATGCTCCTGTGTGTGACAGGCAGGTGAGACACCAGGTGTCAGAAACAGACCAATGAACAAGGTAGAGACTTCATCAGCGCCTGGACACGGGGCCACCAACTGAAGATTCAGAGGGAATGAGTATATCCTTGCCCACTCGGGTTAGTCTTCATCTGCGCAGACACTCAGACCCCTCTCTGCCGGCTACTTCCTGTTGTTACCAATCCAGCACACCTAAATCCCTTACCAAATTCTCCATGCCCACCCTTAATTCCAGTCACTTCATCTAAACAGTCACCAAATCTTTGAGGAAGTCACTGTTGGACTCTGTGACCTCAGTCAAGTCATTTAATCTCTCTACACTGTTTATCTGTAAAATGGGTTTGATAGTGGTCCCTATATCATAGACTTGCTAAGGGTGAAAAGAATGACTATATTATATAAGCAATTTACAGTTCTTATATGCTAGGCACTGGTCTAAATCTTAATTACAGTAACTTAAGCAGGTAAGATCAAAGACCGCTGCGGTGAAGCCTTCCCAGACACACTGGGCACTGGATTCTAACAGACTTCGCACATTCCCCAGAATGCTTTTAGTTACATTTACTTTTATAGCACTGTATCAGCATATGAAATTACCTTGTCCATTTCTTGTGTCCACCGTTAACTTAAGTCCCCTTCCCCATCCTTTCAAACAGACACCCGGTCTTCTCTTGTGTAACCCCAGGGGGTAAAACAACATGCACAGCACATGGTAGAGTCCAGTACAAAGGTACTGAGTGAATAGATGGATCAGCTAATGAATCAATAATCAATCAACGGAAAAGGGAGAGATGCTGTGCGTGCAATGGAAGGAACTGGAGAGTGTTCACAGCCCAGTCCTCGGAGTCTAGGTGCTCCTCCTAAGCTCCACCCATCTTCAGTACAAGCAATGAGGACCTCAGATTCATTTCAATTACCCCATAGGTCCATATGGTGTGGGTGGAATAAAAACAGGAAGCAATGGGCTCCAGCCTAACCTAACACAATACATACAGCCAGACTGTTACGTACTTGAACACGCCTTCCGTGTCTTCAGCCTAGTCCTACTGGCTTCAGTGCTGTCCCTGACCACCTTTGAAGCTTCCGGCAGACTTGAATTTCCCTCTGATATTTCTGTCTCTAGTAGGAAACACAGCAAGCCAGGGCATCCACAGGCCCAAGTTTTGTGTCCACCAACACTAGCTGGGTGACCAGAGGAATCCCATTTATCTCTCAGATCCATGAACCAATGTTGTTAGTTCTATATTCAAGACACAGCCAAACTCTGGTCATCTCTTCTAATTCCCCCGGTGCCGTGGTCTGAGTCAGTATCACCTCTAGCCTGGATCAGCATTACCATGCCCTTACTAGATCCTTCTTCCTGGGCTTACACATCTGCCAAGGTCAATTCCCAAACACAAATACAAAGTCCCTGAATGGCCTCCTTCCACCTCTGCAACCTGGTCTCTAATCCTCTCTCTCTCTCTCTCTCTCCTCTCTCTCTCTCACACACACACACACACACACACACACACACACACACACACACACACACACACACACACACAGTGCTACATCCACACCAGGCCCTTTCCTGTCTCTTCATTCTGTCTTCAGTGAACGAATGCCCTTCAGTTCCCTCAAATGACAAGTAGAAACATCAGCTTCCAAAGGTGGTTGTAAACAGCAAATAATATTGGGCAGATATGCATCTGTGCCTTCAAGTTCGTGAGGACTGTGGGAAGTCCAGCATGCAAGTAAAACAGCTCATCCTCTTGGAGAGCTGAACCCACATTTCCTGGGTCAAATCAGACTCTCCCCGGGATATAGAGGCGCCCACTATCAGCATCTCTAGCACACGGCACTCCACCAAGTTTGCCTACGATAGTGAACTTCTGCACGTCTGTTCAAACAACAAGCCTCACATGTCTCAGGGAAGGCTCAACCTCTGCATCGTTCTGTGGCGTTTTGATCCAGAGCTCACCCCAGCAGGAGGAAGGGCAGGTGCATGATGGGAGACAGGGAGTCCAAGCTCTGCAAATGCCATGAAAGGAAAGCACCCAGACTGTGGGGGTGGTAGAGGCTCACTCCACAAAAATGTCATGGCAGGTGCCCAGCCCCACCCTGCCAGACCCGAGAAACTGGAGAAGCAAATCTGCGGTTAAATGAACATGGCAGTGGGTAGGAATGCAGAGCCTACTTCCCTCCAGAAAATGGCCTCTGCAGAAGCCTGTCCACCTCCGTCCAGCCTCCCACATTGTAGGAAATCACACCTCTCTACGGTTAACATTGGAAATGAGATGTGTGACCACAGATGCTACAGGGGAGTCATTCAGCTGCTTTGGCAGATCTAGACAGGCTTATAATGGGAGCATAAGATTAAAAGCCTAGACTGGGACCTCATCTGTTTGGGTTCAAATCTCAACTTTTGCTCTTAACATCTGTGCAAACTCAGGTAAATTCCTAAGCCTCGCTAAGGTGATTCCTTACTCTGAGTTGGGAACAGAGGAACTAGTTTGTAGGGAGATGAGGCAGACTCAGGGTATTAAGGTGTGTGGGGCACTCAGATCATATTGAGAGAAGGTATGTGTCAATGTACAGTGCAAGACTAACTCCAAGGTCGTCTCTGACCACAGGATGAGGAGCTTGCTATGTAGACGAGGAGCCTGCTGTGTAGACGAGGAGGAGGAGCCTGCTGTACCGACAAGCTGGCTGTCTCAGGCCATAGTCCTTGACTGTGATTCCTGGGGTTCCTCCATTGCTTGGACAAGTTTTCATTTTTTTACAGCTCCACATAAGGAGTGAGAGTTTCTCCCAACCGAAGGTGAGCGTGTATGTCTGCACACAGCTCATTTCCAGCAAGAGGACGAAGGTGAGGCTGGCCACGAGCCCCGGGGGTACGTGGTTTTGAACTTGCTCAGGAGCAGACAGAAGTCGCTTCTTTCCTCTCAAAGCAGTGCACTGTGTTCACCGCCTCAGCTTTGAGGTTTGTCTTTCCTTCCTGGGCTTGGTGTTGCTGAAGAGCTGTGGGAGCTGAAGCCAAACACCAAAGATGGGCAACGACATGGCTCAGAGCCTCATTCATGAGAAACTGAAGCCTTCCCAGCCTTCTCGTTTAGTAAATGAGATCCGCCCATGGCAAATCTTATGTAGAAGACTGCTCTGGACTCTTTGCACACATTGTTTGATTAGTTACTGGTTCTGCCACCAACCATCCATGGTAGCTGTGCTGGGCAGCTTTCGTTGTCAGCTTGACACACCTGAGTAGAAGGAGCCTCGACTGGGGAACTGCCTCCATTAAACTGGCCCGTGGCCGTGTCTGTGAGGCATCTTCTTGATTGTTGAGTGATGTGGGAGGGCCCAGCCTACTGTGGGTGGTGCTGCCCCTGGGCAGGTGGTCTTATGTCTTATAAGAAAGCAGGCTGAGCAGGGGCCAGGGGAGCAAGCCAGTAAGCAGCGTTCCTCCATGCTCTGTGCTCCAGCTCCTGCCTCCAGGTTCCTGCCCTGAGTTCCTACCTTGGGCCTGAACACTAACTAGAGCAGTAGCTACTCTCATCTTCTACTTTTTTAAAAAAACTTTTTTATTATTTTTATTTTATGTGTGTATATGTATTGTCTGCACGTAAGTAAGTGCACCCATGTTGTGCGATGCCTGCGGAGGTCAGCTTCAGAGGCTGTCAGATCCCCTGGGACTGGAGTTACAGACAGTTGTTAGCTGTCATGTGGGTGCTGGGATTCAAACCCAGGTCTTCTGCAAGAACAACCAGTGTTCTTAACCACTGAGCCATCTCTCCAGACCCTTGTCTTCTACTTTCTAGCTCGGGAATGAAGACTCAGAGACAGTCCTCCTCTGAGATTTGTATCAAGAAAGGAGGAAACACAATATTTGGCCCAGGTCTGCCTGACCCTGACCCAGTTTCTTCCATAACACTATGAGGTCACCAGCAGACCAGGTATCACAGGACAGTAAAACACGTGGCCACTTCTCCAGTTAGGCAAAAAGTTCTTGAGGGTGGTAACTAGGTCTCCATCTTCCCCTCCAAAAGTTTGACCCTAGATGACAACTAGACCTGCCAGGTTATGCTACTCCCCTGCAGGCTTTCTGAGGCTCCGTGTACCTCCTTCTCTCTGGACCCAGAACTGAGCATCATGGAGAAAACACTGTGGCCAAGACCACTGCTTGTGAGGACACAGGAGGCTCCCACCCCATCAGGCAGCACTGCCCATACCTGTGGGATGCCGTACTGGTCAATGACTTGCCAGATGTACCAGTCCTCTTTCCGAGATGTTTTCCTGAACCGGAAGGTCGTGACAAAGGCATACTCATCAGGAAGACCTTGGGGGAAGACATCCCTGAAGATAAAGAAAGACAGAATGCCAGGCTGAACACCAAGAGTAAGGGGTGCCTCCCATTTCCTTTTAACAGGGCCAAATGGATGTATCTTGTCTGGCTGCGTTGCTGGGGGGTGTGGGGGGGTGAGATCCTGTACCACAATGCTGTGGTCTCAAATGTTTATACACCCCCAACATCCATGTGCTGAAATCCTACCCCTTAAGGTGATAGAATTTGGACGTGGAGATTTGGGAGGGTTGTTAGGTTATGAGGGTAGACCCCTCATGATAGGATTAATGTCCAATAAGAGTGGTCCCACAGTGGTTGTTTACACTTCTTCCACACAACATTCCTAAGAAGACCTCATCAAGGAAGTCTTGACCTTACACCTCCAGTCTCTAGCCTTATGAGAAATAAAATTCTGCTTCTAATGAGCCATGAAGGCCAGTGTCACAGCATCTGGGACTGTCTAACACATGGGTTTTCTCTTCTCTCCACCAGGCCCTGAGTTGAGTCCTGCCTAGAGGGCCTGCCCCTCTCCTGGTAGTATCTACTTGGTCAGTCAGTCCTAAAACTGTCCTTTCTCCTCCAAATTCAATAATGGAAATTATTAGTTTCTTACTACGGAGGACCGAGAGCCAATCTCCAAGGCTGTTCTTGGACCAGCTGTATTTCCTCCTCTACCCATGTCATGAACAGAGGTGCCAAAGCTCGCTTCTGATCCTAAGGACAGCCCGTCACCTCCCAGTCACCACCGTCACAAAGCTGCCCCTGACTTTGTATTCCCAGCCTGCAGTATGTTCTTCCTACCTTTCCTTCTCACTACTGGAGTTCTGGAAGAACTGACTTGCAGTCTTCCTAACCTGTTCATCGTTCACTGCCTGTTCAGTTCATAGCACCTGGTCTCTGCCCCTCAGTTCTTCACACACCGGAGTTCTGGAAGAACTGACTTGCAGTCTTCCTAACCTGTTCATCGTTCACCGCCTGTTCAGTTCATAGCACCTGGTCTCTGCCCCTCAGTTCTTCACATACTTTCCCCACGAGGACCTCAGTGAGAAAGCCTGACAATTCCCTGTCCCTCAGCATCTATCACCGAGCCCGCAGTGCAGGAGGCTTCCTATAGGTGCTGAGGAATGAAGACCCTTGAAAGCTGTCAACGTGATGTTTCTGTGCAGAAACCTTTCTTTCTCCAGCCCTGGTGAAGTGCTGGGCTTGTGTTCTCAGAGGAGGTTGATTGGGAAGTTCTTCCCGGTAGAATCAGGAACACCCTACAATGTTCCCTCCCTCCAGGCAGGGACAGTCCTTCTACCCCAGTTGTAACAACAAACATGCCCCTACACACCACCAAGTTTTACACAATTTCCCCTGGTTGATACCAAAGATCCATCATAGATTTGCATCCTATTAAAATAAGGCTTAGCCTATTTTTGATAGTTTCTTCAACAAATTACACATGTATCTCACTTGAGACAATATTCTAAAATTTAATATTAAAATGAGTACTTTTGAGGTTTCATATAAACTGGCCACTGAGTTTTCTTCTCATTTCTTCCTAGAAAGGACTTGTGAAGAAATATTTTGATCTTCGAATTGCATAGGCAGGGCACTTGGTCTCTTTGTGGTTAACTCAATGCCACACAACAGACAGAGTTCACAGCCAGAGGCTCTAGTCTATAGCTCTTCTCTTAACCACCAGCCAAATGTCCTTTTCTTCAGCAGAATTTGAGCAGGGTGGCCGAAATCCACCCTGGAGGTGGGAGGCCGCCTCTGGAAACATAGCCTTCATTTTGTTCTTGGAGGAGGCGGGAGCCGTCTGGCCAAACAGCCAGGAAGGGAAGTGGGGAGGCGTCTGGGCTCCTGATTCTTAGCTTTGCAGATCCTCAGGGACTCTTCCAGTAGCTACAGAGCATACATGGTAAGATTGGTTCTCACTGACTCTTGTTCACAGATTTAAGGTAGGAAATGACTCATTTGTTCAATTATCGTTCTCTGATGAAGGACTTCACTGAGGATGGTGTATAGACAGAAAGAACAGAGCCCATCACCGTGAGTCCCTAGGCTTCCCTCAGAAGTTAGAGACTGACCCTCACCACCCCCCATCACTGTGCATGCAGAAAAAAGCAGGTCACCCCACGTAGGTTACAGACACAGGAATTTAGTTTTCATTTTCTACTTATTTCCTTCATGAATCGGTTTTCTTTCTGAATACAATACTTATTAATATTTCAATACATTTGAAGTATTTTCACAGATATACAAGTGTGTATGTATCCTAACAAAATATGTGTGCATATATATATATATATATATAGAGAGAGAGAGAGAGAGAGAGAGAGAGAGAGAGAGAGAGAGCATAAGGAATACAATGCACATACCTAGCCACACATATAGAGTCTAAGGGAAAAAATTCGTAAAATTAAGGGTAGAGAAGTCTATTAACAGAGAACATCTAAAGAAACAAAAATGCTATAATACAATTCTTTCCATAAATAATGTATCAGATTATGAAATCACAGTGCAAAGGACAAGCATTTGGACTTGGGTGACGTGACCTGTGCCATCTTCTTAGTTTGATGTGTCCAAGCACTGCTGAGGGAGTTACTCCCCAGCTCAGTGCTGACTGAGCAGCTGTGGCTGACTGCGTTCTACTTCCCAGGGTGCCCAGGAGGATCAGGAAAGAGAAAGGACTACTCACTCAGTTCTCTGTACCACAGGGAAGGAGCCCATCCGGACATAGGAACTCTGGGCTCCATTTTCTCTCTTCCCCAAGATTTCCTTCACACTGAACAAATCCATCAGGTCAAAACCTGTGGAAATGGAAGAGTTGAGAGAGAGTTTGTTAGAGGAAAAGTACAGGAGACAAAAGAGAAGCTAGTTCACTTTCCTCAGAGACAGTCAGCCTGCCCACGCTGCTCTGGGGGTCCCAGAGGGGGATAGACACACTGATGAAGGAACTGTTCAAATATATGTTGGGAAGACAAAAATCAGCTGAGATGCCCATGCGACCTCAAGTCCTGTGCCAGGGCAGGTCCAGTGGAACACAGACACTGGGTGCCGCACTGGAACGCTGAGTACAGAGAGCATCGTGGATCATGGTCAAGTCCAAGACAAGCGGAGGTGTCCCGGTTTCTCCTGCTTCCGGGCCTCTGCTCTAGAAGCTCAAGTGTGCGTGCTGGCTCTTCAGTCAAACCCACAATTTGAAGTCCTTCCTTCCCGCAGCCACATTGCTGCCTTTCATTTGGGTCTTGCTGGGATTACTGTTGGCAGCTTTTAAATCTCATGATTTTAAAAAGAGAACCACAAGAAAGAAGTAAACTGCTTTGTGGTATTGTGTTAATGAAAGGTGTTTGCTTTGGCTTGCTTTGATTTCCCCTAAGAGATGACCAAAAGTCACTGTCAGTGTAAGGTCAAAGAATAGTGGTGGTCACGGGCACTGGCCTTGGGAGGTGTAGGTGTGGGGACGGAGGTTTAATTATATGTTCAGTCACATATTGATGGGAAGCTGGCAAACTCAGTGACAGGAGAATGAAGGTCCAGCTGTCTTGATAACAGCAGACCCTGAACACATGCCCAGCAGGCAACAGAAGGCTTTTCACCAGCACAGCTCGCCACCCCCTGAAGCCCACCCTCCCCTACATCTGTCCGCAGTAAGATCTGTTCAGCACGTTGTCAATCTGGAGATTCTGCAAACAAGGCCCACCAAGTATCCTGAGAACAGCAGGTGTTCTAGAGGCTGACAGTGTGATGGATACTGATACTGATTTGGGAGACTGTGACACTGAATGCCTGGATGGGAGCTTTAACTGAAGATGACAGCAATGTCACTAAAAGCCAGGTGCTCCACATGACCTTTACCTTGAATGAGAGTAAGAGAACTCTCCTTTCCCACAAGCTCTGAAGAAACTAGCAGATGGAGCAGGCAGATTGGGTCTCCCTGGCACTGATCTTGTCTGACCTTGACTGCCTCGCTTTCTCTAGACATCAGCTCCCCTATCTGTAAGCTGGACAGACAGCTGGAGCTAGACCATTTTTGTGTTTTTAACACCAATAGCTATTTATTACAGTTCTCTCAGTGTCGCCATGGCACAGTCCGTCTTGCAAATAGATTGCACTCCTTGTGTAGCTATGAACTGGAATGTCCAGCATACATGCAGTAATGGAGCCCGCAGTCCTCTCAGCATGCCAAAGGATGCAAGCCAGCAACACACCTACTGATAAGACAGAAGGGAGCGCACACCAAGGCCTTTGATTCCAGCTAAGGGCAGGATGAACTGTAGGTATCCACAATGTTTAATAAAGCCAAGGCACCCTGTACCCCACAGACTCCGGGGTGGGTCACTCTGAAGAAGCTCTCTGATTCCACTGAACTTGTTTCTTTAATTAGAACATGAAAGAGAGGGGGCTGTTGAGAGCACCTGTTGTTCTTGCAGAGGACCCAGGTTCTGTTCCCAGAACCCACAGGGAAGCTCACAACCTGTAACTCCAGTTCCAGGGCATCCAATGCCCTCTTCTGGCCTCTGTGGTCATCAGGCATGCATATGGTACACATGTACATACATGCAGGCAAAAACACAAACACATACATTAAAAAAATAATCTTTTTACTCAGCAAGCCCTCAGTTATATGAAGCCTTTGAGAGGGAACTGACACTGATTCTAACCACTCCAACAGCTATCAAGATACCTGAAAGCAAATCCTGAACCCATCACTCCAGCCTTGGAAACAAAAGAAAAATGAGGAGGAACCCAGTATAGGGATGCTTTTGGAAGCTTTTGTCAAGAAATTCCAATGGACTCTCATATGAACATTTGAAAATAGCCCTGTTCTGACTTTTTTCTAGTTCCCTGTCTAGATCTTATAAAGAAATTCCAATGGACTCTCATATGAACATTTGAAAATAGCCCTGTTCTGACCTTTTTCTAGTTCCCGGTCTAGAACTTATAATGCTAATTACTCCTGCCTTTACTTTTCCTTCACATCTCCTATTCACGATTCAAGGACTTTCTTTCCCCTTAGAGATAAGAGTTATGCAATTTGGGAGTCTTTTAGATATACCCAATGAAGGGGTACTCCAATTGCCTCACCCTGCCTCCCTGTTCAGCGTGGAAGAAGCCAGAGTGGTCTGCGTCCCGATTCCCTATTGGCAATTTGGGCAACCTCTTCAGAGGATGGTGTGTTAAGAATAGGAGGTAGGAATTGGCTAGGCGGTTTCCCCTTAGAGATAAGAGTTATGCAATTTGGGAGTCTTTTAGATATACCCAATGAAGGGGTACTCCAATTGCCTCACCCTGCCTCCCTGTTCAGCGTGGAAGAAGCCAGAGTGGTCTGTGTCCCTATTCCCTATTGGCAATTTGGGTAACCTCCTCAGAAACCTCTTCAGAGGATGGTGTGTTAAGAATAGGAGGTAGGAACTGGCTAGGCGGTAAAGAAAAGTAGCCAGTTTCTTGGCTAAAACTCACAATGTCCTTGGGCCTCTTAGCAACCTACTGTATTCCAAAGGCCAAAAATGTCAAAAATATTTGGGAGCTTTTATCTAATCCTCAAAAGATTTTATGGTTACCTCTTCAGAGCGGGGAATATTAGAGTAGCCAAAAGCCCCAAATACATTATTTGTTTGAAAAAAGAAAGAAAAGAAAATGAAGGAGATTTATCATTGGGCTGAGATTAGTTTAAGTTTGGTGATGCCATAAAGTGCCTGTGTGGATCACTCAGGTGATACCAATAGCTCTTCCTGGAGACCCTAGTGGGAATCCATGGACTTGTATCCAGGCACAGGACACTTAGCGCTGAGAGCTCCTGTGAGAGGTCGGGGGCTCAGACTATGAACAGCGCCTGTTCCTCTGTGTCTTGGCTTTGTGGGCCGTCACTAGGCAGAGCCACCTTCCTCCATGCTCCCCCTTAGCAACTGTATGTGGGGGGAATGAATTAAAAAGTTTCAGAAAAGCAAGGCTGGACATGGAGCTCAGTTGGTAGAGTGTCTGCACAACATGCGTGAGGCTAAGGACTTCAATCCTGAGCACCACATAAACTGGACATAGTAGCACATGCCTGCAATCCTAACACTGGTAGATGGTGGAGGGCATCAGAATTCAAGGTCATCTTTGGCTAACAGTGAGCCCGAGGTCAGCTTGTAACACACAAGACAGTATCTCAAATACAAAAACCACACATTCTTTCCTTCCTGGCTCCCACTTTTACTGGTTTCAGTGAATTAAGTGAAAGATTTGCACAGGACAAAACTATAAACAAGCAATCAATTAGTGACAGAAAGGGCACAAAAAGAGAAGATGGATTGCCTCAGATAAATAAGGGCTGGGAGGGAAAACGGTCCAGAGGCGGTGGACGGCGAGGCCAGGTGCTCCGAGATAAGTAGCAGTTGCTTAATGCGAAGATTTGAGGCTGAGCAGCACCTCATCACGCCACGCAGTCAGCTGACCACATGAGGAGGACGTAGTGATATCCAGGACCCATGAATGGAAGCTGGATAGCACTCTGTGGCCAAGAACCAACAGAGAGATGATCAGGACTGAGGGGACTCAGAGGTTCTCGAGAGCCCCTGTTGTACAGGTGGGGAAACCGGGATTCAGAGCGCTCAGGATTTGATCTGTACCCACTGGCTGGCGAGGAGCAGGACCATCTAGTGTGTCTTCATCTCCCATGTCTATTCCTGTTTTCAGTCCCACTTTCCCAGAACAAATGGGCCCTAAAAACAGTTACGCAGAGAAACGCCTGGAGGTGAGGCTTCTGAGAGCCGCATTTTTTTCCAAAGCAAAGAGAGCTCTGATTCCTCAGCTGCAACGGATGTGGTGAGCTGAGGTTCCCTGTCTGCATCACTCCTTCAGCTGCAGCATGGTGGGAACACGTTCTCACACTGGTTCTTACTAGATGATATTGAAGAGCTATCAAGGTCTCCATCACCCATAGATTCTAAATACTTATCCTTGCATCCACACGGCTTTCACCCCTTACCAAAGAACGTTTTTTTATAGCAGATGGAGGTTATGTCAGATACCCACAATTAATCAAAATTCAGAGAATAAGTGACCATAGGGTGCCTGGCCCCAATTGGTATCTAAGCCTCAGGGACCATCACAGGAAACGGGGCAGAAAGGTTGAAAAAGCCAGAGGACTAGGACACCTGGTGCTAGACGGTGTCTCCTGGACACACCAGGGGTGTTGCACCCACAAAATCTCAACAATAAGGTTCCCTAAACAAGACCTGCACAATGACACCACCTGTTGACAGGCAGGGCAGACGGGGAAATTTCAAAAGGACACACTCCCAGATGAAGAACTACAGGCAGTCAAGGGCTGCTGAGAGAGGGAGAAACCAGTCTTTTCCAGGGACGGAGCCCCCAACAGGTTATCAAGTGGTCAGCCCTAAACACATGTACATAAAAGCAGCGTTAAATGGGCACAGTGGGTTTTGTGTGTACACTTATGTACATATGTGTGACAACAATAATTGTAGAAAAAGAGGTCGTGGACTTGGGTGGGAGTGGGAGGCAGGCAAAGGAGGAACTTGGGGGGCAGAGAGAGGGGTGAAAAGATGTCAATACAGGAGAGTCTCAAAGGAATGAAAAACTTTTCAAATGCCAAAAGAGCAACTCTCTGAGTCTCCGATTCTCCACCTGTAAATGCATAATGTGCACCAACTGTGTGAGTTAAGGTGGAAATATGTGGGGCACTCAGTACACAGTGACTGCTGCCACTGCTGTTATCAATGCCCTAAGTGCTGCCGTCCGTGGAGATGCACATTGAATGACTGATGGCTTGGAGTGCGCTGCTCTGGAGGAATACAGCTCGCAAAGTCAAATGTATTCAAGGCAGCATGGTAAGAATGGGCTTTGAAGAGGGGTTTCAATGGAGGTGTCCTGGGGCAGAACCGAACAGGCACATCCCCCTGGAGGGAATGGACAATAGATCACCTGAGAGCATCGCATCCCTGGATTTCACCAAGGTACTAAGCGGAAACATCTAAGTCAAACTGCCTAGCAGCTTTGCACCCTGGGCAGAGTGAGCTACAGACATGCTCACTTCAAGGCACCTGAGCGATCAAAGGGAAGCAGTGAAGGTCGCCTTCATCTCTGGAGTTGGACAATGGAGCTGTGACAGTGGCAGCATCTCCTGAACATCTCCTGAGTGCCAGAGGCCTAGCCAGCCAGAGGTGACGGACAGCTGTCTTCTGGGACGTCCTCCAAAAGAGTCAGTAGCTTAGTTGAAGCTGCCTGATGGGTGAGTTGGAGCCACAGAAGGAGGGAAAGTAACTGGTAGAATATAGCACAAAGTCACTACTCAGCAGGTGACTGCCTGGGGTCCTCCAGGCAAACTCTGGGAGATGGGATGCGGGCCTGCCATCCAGCCCTGCCCGGAGCACAGCACTCAAAGAGTTCTGTGCCAAGTCACTAGTGAGAGGGATGCAAGAAGAATCAGCTTCAGACCATGTTCTTCAGCAGGCACAGCAGTGTTTGTCTATGAGAAAGATCCTTCAGGATAAAAATACAGAAGCTGTGTCTTACAGCTCATGGGGCACAGTGACATGACAGGCTTCCAGGAGTATGGGCCGGACACTGGTAGTGCCCGAGCCACACCTAGTCCTGACTTGGTGCTGGCTATCCAGGGTGAGAATCAAGAACGTGTTTGGAATTGGACCCAGGAGGATAAGGGAGGGAAGAGGGAAAGAGAAGGAGCCTGAGCCAGGGAACGTCAGCAAGAAGGGCGGGAAGAAAAACCGCCTGCCCTTGGGCCAGTTCACACATTCAGTGCCCTTATCGATTAATGGTACCCAAACAGATTGGTGAGCAGCACCACGAGGACAAGGAGGACGCCCACTCCCCACACTCTGCCCTCTGCCTTGGCTCTTCTGTTTGTTATCTGAAGGTGGCCTTTGAACACCCCACACGCTGCTGTCTGCCATAGATCTGTGGTCACCTGTCTGCTCTCCTATCTCTGATTCCCTCCTCCATTTATGAGGCTGATTCATCTTCCCTTCTCTCTACGGTGCCTTAATTTATTCATCCTTCCTCTCAGTTTGCCAATCCTTCGTTTGCTGATTCACCAACTCCAGCTGCACTCTTCCTAATGCATTTTGTAGGGTGGTTCCTCCTGCCAAGAGGAAAACTAGAGATGTCTGTCACTCTTGGGGGGATCGCTGCCCCTGCACGGTTCCGACTGCTCCGCCAGGATCTTGATGACAGATGAGAATGACGAAGGATCGGGGACCCACCCCTCAAGTCCAGCAAGCAGCACATGAAAGCCCACCTGTGTGACTGGTGTGTTGCTGTCTCTCTTACCCGTGATCTCCTTGGTTCCTCCATTGGTGTGTTTAAAGCGGTCTCCTTCTACCCGGACACTGGGGCACAGCACATCTGAGGGAAAAGTGAACAGACCAATGAGCAAATGTTCCCACTGTCGCCCTGTGGAGTGTGAGTCGGAACGGAGCCGCTCCACCTGCAGTGAAGAGGTGCACACGGGGGGCCTGGCTGCGCTGCACTTGTTAGCTCTTTCATTTACTTGTATTGTTGGTACGAACTGATTCTGTAAATAGCAGACATAAGCAAGACACTGCCCCTTCCCCAGGGGACTCAGAACCTCACCCATTAGAGGGAGCCACACATGAAAATCAGTGTTAGCAATACAGGATCCTAGGTCAGAGACACTGGGTGGTCGCTAGGGGACTCAGGAAACAAGTGTATCTCATAACTTCCCCAAGGACAGTAAGACTTTCCTAGAAAAGTTACTCTTCAAAAGATAAAGCCCATAAGCGACCTGGGACCAAAGTAAAAAAAGTGCCATCTTAAACTGAGCCTCCCAGACTCTCTTCATCTCCCTGTGACCTGGCCCTGCCCAGAGAAGCAATTTGACTCTCACATGATTCTTTTAATCACACATTGCCACTTTTCCTATTTGGAGACATCAACATCGGAATGCAGGACTGTTGGGGCTCCCTTTTCCCATGGCACTAAGAAGAATGAAGGAGATCTCCCTGGCTTTGAAGGAGTATTTTTAATGCTGATCCTATAAGGCACCACCAGGTCTGACAAGTCCCAGGGAAGGGGTTATTTTCGACACAGCACCACACTGTCTGTCTAGGACTAAATCTCAGAGAAGAGGCAGGCACTAGGCAGTATTTAGACAGCTCCACCCAGAACAGCCACAGCTGTGAGGTGGCAACCCTCCAGGGAGAGACTCCAGGGATTGCGCCTAGTCATTTACATGAGTTTAAACTGTAAATGGAATTGACTCACAAGGCTCCATCCTAGATGGTGAGCACATCCCTGGAGGCTGATGGCTAGAGCCTAAAGCAGCCTGCGCTACTGAGTCATGTCTAGTCATACCCCACGGGGAGGAAGGGTTTGGTTCACAGATGCAGATGGCAAGGCCAGTCTGAAGATCTCAAACAGAGGACAGACCTCGCCCACACCGCTTTCAGGAATCGTTTCTGAAGCAGCTGCAATCTCTCACAGGCCTCCAGCTCAGGATGTTCTCAGCCTCCTGTATTCAACGGGCTCGATGGCAACTCAGAGCCCACTTAGTTAAGTCAGCACAGGTGGCTCTCCAGATAGCCTCAGAGCCAGGCTTCCCAATATTGCCAAGGCCCTTGGGGTTCACCTGTGACATGATTGAATCTAACATGTACCTCACAGGCTTATGTTTTCAACCCTTGGTCCCTGATAGTGGAACAGCACTGAAGGTTCTAGAAACTGAGGAGGAATAGGCTTACCTAGCAGAAGTGGCTCACTGGGCTTAGGACTGTAAAGCCTATACCAGGCCATCATTGCCATCTCTGCCTCCTGATTCACCACGATATGAACAGTCTCCACCACGTGCTTCAACTGTCACAAGCTGAACTGCTATCCCAGGCCTTCCCACTGGGATGGGATAAAACCCTCTGAAACTATGAAGTAATATAAACTTGTTTTCTTTTAAGCTGTTTCTACCAGGTATTGCCATCAGAGTTACACAAAAGTCACTAACACAACCTGCTCAGTGGGAAGGTATATATGGTACCCCAAACCAGGCCCAGCCATCTTCCAGTTCCCTTTGGCAAAGGTATGTCCACATCTTAGGTAATTATCTGGCCTTCAGTGGGCCTTGCAATAATATTCCCAATCATTCTCACCTGATGAAGGGCCTAGTCTCAGAAAGCCAAGTCTCAGAGCTTGCAGAAACATACTTAAGTCATTGTTGGGCATGTCTGTCCCACAGAGGTGGCCAGATCTCAGTTTGTGTGCACGTGGCCACTGTCCACACAGTGCTAAGCCCACCCCAGGCCTTTGGTCCATACCAAACAGAAACGACCACTGACACCTGAGCTTGGAGGGAAAAGCTTGGTGGACTACACAGGCTTCCAGGTCTGGGTTCACTGTGGTTGGATGAGCCAGTGAGTCAACATCCTGGGCTCCAGGACCCCGGTTAGGGAGGAGTGACTGTCACCCTGAGCCATCTGACTAATTCCCACATCTTACTTCTCTTGCCTGCAGAAATGATAGTGTTTCCAACCTATAGAAAAAGATCTGACTGATTAAGACACTGTTAGTTTCCTTCCCTTTGCAGCTGAACGCGTCTAAATGTGTAGGAACGCACTTCCTGCGAGCAGCACCTAGAAGCCGGGGCAACGTACTCTGTAGAAAGCCAGGTCTTCTTTACTTATTTTAATGTTAATGTTATCTGTGTTTTGCCTGTGTGTATGTAAGTGCACCACATGCTTACAATGCCTGTGGACCCCCTGGGTTATGGATGACTATGGAGCTATGGATGGTTGTTAGCCACCCTGTGGGTGCTGGGAAGCAAACCCAGGTCCTCTCTAAGAGCAGTGGACCTGAACCTAGAGTCCTGACATGGAGATAACAGGCCCCTAGGTGGTGTATCAGCAGGAATAACAGAGGTCAGTCGTGTACACCTGGTGGCCGGCTAAAGACCACCAGGATGAGCTCACTGCTCATCCGTGGGTGCTGGGAAGCAAACCCAGGTCCTCTCTAAGAGCAGTGGACCTGAACTTAGAGTCCTGACATGGAGATAACAGGCCCTAGGTGGTGTATCAGCAGGAACAACAGAGGTCAGTTGTGTATACCTGGTGGCCGGCTAAAGACCACCAGGATGAACTCACTGCTCATCTATCAACTCATGACAGACCCTGCTAAGTGCACCTGACCTCAGAGAGATAGGTGGCATTTAAGTGAGCAGGGACGATGTAGAGGAGGGAAAGGATGACTCAGATGCCCTCTGCACAAGGCCCAGCTCCTCTGTCGCTCCAGCTGGGTCAGCTAGGAATTGTCTGTGCATTACAGAGGCAGAGACACTGCACAAGGTACAGAGACTCAAGAAATGATATTAGTGAGAATTACACCCCCGGTGTCGCCCTGGGCATGGGATGGTCATATGTCCAGGTTCCTATGGAGGAGTGTGCTGTGAGTAGGTTCTTATGGAGCATGCTGTGTGGATTGTTTCTGGACTTCTTCACTGTTCCACTGGGGGGTGGAGTTATCTCTAAGACCAGAAGATGTGTGAGGACAGTGTGCTGTGCAGCAGACACTGTTGGAAGCAAAGTACATTAACACATTTAATTGTGTCCTCACCAGAGTTTTAAACTTTTATTTATTTTTATTTTATACGTATGAGTGTTATGCCCGCATGTGTGTAAGTGCACTCATATTGTGCAGTGCCCTCAGAGGACAGAAGAGGGTGTCGGATCCTCTGGAACTGGAGTTAAGGAGGGTTGTTAAGTGCCATGTTGGTGCTGGGATTTGAACCTGGGTCTTCTGTAAGAACAGCCAGGATCTTAAATGCTGAACCATCTCTCCAGCCCCCTCACCAGAGTTTTATGAAGTGATATTCTTAATTACAGATCCATGGGAAGGGCATACAAAAGGCAATAAATTTCCCAAGGTTCACACAGCTAGCAGGGCTGACTCAGCACAAGGCTTCCTGAACCTGGTTCTCAAGCATGCTACAGTCTCTCCAAAGGCCAAGTCACCTGCCCAGGAACTCCAGCTTCTCTCTAAAGCCTGCACAGCAGCCAGTTGGCCTGCAACCCTCTGCTTCTGAGCAGGCCTGACCTATAGAGGAGTCTTCCCCAACTCTGTTCCTATAAGATTCATTTGGTTAGGCTCAAGGAAGTCAAAGCCCAGAGACATCAATAGATTTACACACCATCACACAGCCAGCAAAGGCAGAAGCAGAGGCAGACATGAGCCCAAAGAGACAAATGTAAACATTTGTAGTTTCAATCATGATCCATGTGATCCCAGACTTAGAACATACCTTAGGTATAAAAGAAAAATAACCATCCCATTGACTAGAGGCTCCACCGTCTCAAGTTGTACATGTGGCCTAATTTAATTATCTGCACAAAGTTTCAGGGCAAATATTATTATCAATAACTTATAACTTTAACAGGTTAACGAAGGGGAGGTTTATTAATCATATTAATCACTGGGTTGATCTTGTGAGTACTGAGAAGACCATCTGGAGGCTGTACACTGGGTTCCCAAAACCTAACTGTACTCCCACTGTCTGTTCTGAGACCTTCAGAAGACTTCTTGTCCTCTCTCTCCAAGATCAAAGTGTATGAGCACCAGCTGCATGTACTGGCCCTGGCTGCCTGAGTGATCCACACCTTACAGGATTTCTGGATTAGAGAGGTATAGTCAGGGCACAGAATTCCCAGAGAGTGTTTTTGTGTGCTTCGGAAGCAGCTGCTGGGGTATGGGGCAGTCAGATAAACACTAAGAAATCCCACTAGACCTACAAACAGCTGCAAGTCACTGGCCACGCAGCCCATACCCACCCTGTTTCCTACTGTCTCAGAAAAGAGCAGCACAGTGTGAAATTAGAAGAGATAGCCAGGTGCTTCATGAGTGCAAGCTGGGCACTGAGTCATCTTTGCAGAGAGAGAGAGAGAGAGAGAGAGAGAGAGAGAGAGAGAGAAAGTGATGACAAAGTGAGGCCCTGAGGCGCTCTCTCCTCTCTCCTCTCCCAGCCCAAGCACATGCCACCTTCTGGGCAAAGAGAAGCTGACGCAGGGTAAGTAGAGAGACCTGGCCCCAAAGACCAAGAATAGGAAGTCCTGGAGTCACACAGGCCTTAATTCGGGTCTTCCGTGCCTATTTCCAAACTTAAAAGCAGGGGTCAAAGTCAATATTACCTTCAATCCGGGCTGTCCTAAAGGATAAGTGGGATTGCGGGTGGACAGTGCCGGACATGACACCCAGCATGCAGCAAGTACACTTCATTCATTTATAGACACACTTTCTACCTTTTCAGCACGTCTATCCCAGCTTGAGAAACAAAGGCAAACGCACGGGTGGGGGTTCCCGCTCTGTTGCTGCCTGCGCTGGGGGAGGAGACAGAGAGCGGCACAGGGAAG